GTTCACATATGCATGCACTCAACCTATTTGGAAAACAAAAGCACTTTTTTGTTTTAATTGGCCCTATATTGAGGACATCTTTTCAACTCAGGACATCCTCATTGCCTTTTTTTTTTCTGAGGAAGATTAGCCCTGAGCTAACATCTTGCCAATCTTTGTCCTTTTTTGCTTGAGGAAGATTAGCCCTGAGCTAACATCTGTGCCAGTCTTCCTCTATTTTATATGTGGGTTGCGGCCACAGCATGGCTGATGAGTGGTGTAGGTCTGTGCCTGGGATCTGAACCTGTGAACCAGGGCCACTGAAGCGGAATGTGCCAAACTGAACCACTAGGTCATGGGGCCAGCTCCCTCCTCATTACTTTCATAGTAATGCCTTCTTGATTTAAGAGGCTAGTAGAAGCAATAAAAATGGCTTGTTGTGGTTTCTCCTTTGGATCCTCTTTTACCGTTTCTCCTTGTTGAAATGGATCTTGCAAGGGGCAATTCCTAGGAGAGGAATTTCTGGATCATAGGGGATAGTAGACCCAGTTTTAGTAGATACTGCCAGTGTAATTGATACCAAACCTCTTAATCTCAAGTTTGCATGCCCAATGCACAGTAAACCAGTCACTGAGACATTGGTGCTTGGATATGGAGAAAGGTTTATTTGACTTGGCCAAAACAAGGTGGGAGCATAGGTTCTCTCAAATCTGCCTTAAGGAGAAGAAGGCAAGAGGGTTTTATACTGCTAAGGGGCTTGGCAGGAAGAGCTTTGGAGAAACAAAAGGGTTACTCCCAATAAGCCTCTGGGCAATCTGACTTCAGGGAATATGGCAGCTAGGGCTGGTCATCCAGGTGGTTGCAACCTCCCTGAAGACGTTCTCTTCCTTCTGCAAAACAAGCTCACAAATCCTCGGGACTCCTGAGTCACCCCCAAGGTTAAACAAGAAAACGCTAAATCGACAAGGTTCATCTATGTCTGTGTTGGGAACAAGGCTGAAAGGCAATCACATTCTTTTTTTTTTTTTGTGGGGGGGGAAGATTAGCCCTGAGCTAACATCTGCTGCCAATCTTCCTCTTTTTGCTGAGGAAGACTGGCCTTGAGCTAACATCTGTGCCCATCTTCCTCTACTTTTTTATATGTGGGATGCTTGCCACAGCATGGCTTGACAAGTGATGTGTAGGTCTGCACCCGGGATCTGAACTGGTGAAGCCCGGGCCGCCAGAGCAGAACATGTGAACTTAACTGCTGCGCCACTGGGCCGGCTCCGCCATCATGTTCTTATTGAACATCTACAGTAATCCTCAGGTACATGGCTTTGTATTTATTTCTGCTCCCAGTAAGTGTTTGACAGTTCCAGTTGCTCCACATCCTTGCCAACACTTGGGGAATTTTAGCCATTCTGATGTGGTATCTTACAATATTAATTAGCATTTTCCTGATGACTACTGATTTGGGCACCTTTTGTAAGTTTATTAGTCATTTAAATATCTTCTTTTTGAAATACCTGTGGAAGTCTCTTGCCTGTTTTTCCACTGGGTCGTCTTTTTGTTATTAGTTTGTTGGAATTCTTTATATATTGTGGATATGAGTCCTTTGCCAGATATATGTGTTGTAAATGACTTACCCATACTGTGACTCACCTTTTTACTGTCTTAATGGTTTATTTTGTTGAACAGAAATTCTTAATTTTAATATAGTCCAGTTTATTCTTTCTTCCTTCTATATTTAGTGCTTTTATAGCATATTTAGGAAAACTTTGCTTACCCTAGGGTTATGAAGATATTTGCCTAGGTTTTTTCCCAGAGTCTTTATCGTTTTGTCTTTACATTTAGCTTCATAATCTACCTGGAATTGATTTGTATATGTGGTGTGAAGTAGATCCATTACTTTCCCAGGTGGGCAGCTGCTGGGCCCGTTTACTGAGCAGGCACACCTTTCCCTTCGGTACCGGGGTGTCTGCTTTGTCCTAACTTAACGACTACGTGTGTGTAGGACTGTTTCTACATACTCTCTTCTGTCCTCTTAGCCTTTACCCCACTGTCTCTCTTACTGTGGTTTTGTAGTAAGTTCTGATATTTAGGAGTATGTCTTCCAACTTTTTTTTTCCTTTTTTCAGATTATATTTAGTTATTGGCCTTTTGCATTTCCACATAAATTTTAGAATCAACTTGTCAATTTCCGTACACACACACACACACACACACACAGACACAGACACACATAGACACAGCAGACACACACAGACACAGACACAACCTCCTTGGATTTTGATTGGGATTACACTGAAACTTAAGGAGAATTTCTTTGTGGAAAGGTTTTAAATTATAATTCAATTTCTTTAATACGTAAGAGCCTTTTCAAATTTTCTATTTCTTGTCAGTTTTAGTAAGTTATAGTTTCCCTCAAATTTTTTTTAATTTGTTTATTTCATCTAAATTTCCATGTACTGGCATAGAGTTCATAATAATAATATCCTCTTTTTTTTTTCCTTTGAGATTTGATTTTTATCTTAGTTATTAAGGAATTTGAGTAGGGAAATGGTAAAATGAGATTCATTATGTTTAACTTTGTTGATGGAAGTGCTGGGGAATAGTTGAGAATGAGAGTTTCTTTATATTAGGAAAGGAGGATAAATATGTGTTATGCTTTGGAAACCCTGTGGTGGTCTGGCTTACAGGTTATATTGGCCTCACTTCTCAGCCTTTCTGACCCTACGGTTATCTTTTCAAGTTCCTCCCTGGTACTCCAGTACCATTTGAGTTTCAGTGTGTCTATAGATGACTTGACAGATTTTGCTAAAAAAATGAACTGTTTTTCTCTTTCCTTCTGCCGACTCTCTTCTGACTCTTGCAGCTACTCATGCTCCAGATTAGTTAAGCGCTTCTTTTAAAAGATGTGCACTGTTTTGTAAAGGGATCTTTAAGAAACGGGGTGTTCACGAGAGAGAATGATTGAACCTGTGGAGATTTTCATTGTTTTAAATGTGGGCAGAAGAAGGTTTGCATGAGAAGTTAAGGATGTTAAACTATTTCTGTCTTATTTATTATTTATTGAATGGGTGAATGAATGAATGAATGGGGAAAACTCAGTGGTTATGTATACCCCCCAAATTGTGAATACCAAAATGGGACTTGGACTTCTTCATTCTGAGTAAACAAGAGTTCTTTGTGGCTGTTTAGCCTCCCCTCAGGAATTCCTGGTGCTCTTTTCTCTTCAGTGGTTAGGGTGTGGTGCCATTAAATGATTAAACAATACTGATTGGGGATAATATTTTTGTACTTTACACTAGAGAAGAAGATTTTATCGAAAGTTATCATGTTTAAGGATTTCTCAGTACTTTTAGAGATGGTAGGATGGTTTGGTCTGGATTTGATCAGGTTTTGTGATTAAGACTAGTTCACAATGGAGATGCTTGAACTCTTAGAAATATATTTTTCTTTTTATTTATGATAAAAGGAAATAAATATTTATTTCTTACAGACTTGAGCCTCTAGCCTGCTGGGAGCTGACTGTTCTCTGCCTCCTTCCTAACGTATTAGGGGAGTGCTCTTAGGGACGCCAGGCGTCCGCTTCAGGCTTGCAGCCTGCCTCTCCGTGTGTGTGATCCTGCTTGGGCGGGACTGTGGCTCCTTGTTCCTTGGCAGAGAGCACCAGGCATTGCCGTTCTCCTGAACCTCCATATACCTCTGGGAAGGGGGTCAAAGAATTGGTCCTGATGTATTTTAATTTTTTTATCTAGTCCTCTGGAGAAATAAGTGACGTAAGTCATCCTAAGTCACTGAATTCTTGCAGGACATAATTTAATTCAGGTCTTGACTTGTGGCATCCTGAACCTTGGTGAATGTGGTGAAACCACTTGTGTGGCAGCCCCTTGTAATGCTCCGCATTGCACTCAAGTGCTTTAAACTACCTGTGGTGAGGCACAGGTTTTTATTGCTAAGCTGTGTGAAGTGACACTTTTAGAAAATCCTATAAAGATGAATTATTATAAAAGTGAAATAAAAAAGGCCCTACAAAGAGATGTCCGAGGTTCAGCAGATATAAAATTACTTTGTTAACTTACTTTAACCTTTTAAAATTCTTACTCTGAATTTCTGTAATTCTCTCATTGTGAGCTAGTACCAAATAATTGGCTGACTAGCACTGGTCCTTGAATCACCCTCTGAGGATTGCTGCCCCGGACCGGCCCCGTTTCTGCCCTACCCCTCCTTTTGTTTTCCCATGAGCACTCTATTCTTGAATTTAGGATCTTGGTGAAGCGAAGTACTACTTGGAAGGGCTATCTCTTGAATCACATTTGGGCGCTGGCTCCAGTTAAACTGAAGGGAAGTCCAATTTAAAATTTAATTAACATTATGAAAATTATTATTGAAGAATCAGCTAATCAGTCTTTGAATTACTTACCCAAGCAACAGACCTGGAGCTATATGAATTTTGGAAGACTTGGTAAAAATTTCTCAAATCATTCCCTTAAAATCAGTCTCTTACCAAAACATATGATGAAATGTCTTCCCTTTGCCAACAATTGCCAGATAATGTGATTGCCTCCAAACAAACATAAAAACCAGAAAGAAAAAAAGCATTCTAGACCGTATGTTCCAGAAATCAGGTTGTGCATTCAGCATTCTGGGGAGGAGTCTCAGGGTGCTCTAAATCATGAACTTTTTAAAGTGGAAGTGCTTCTCTGAGGACCAGAGAATTCTTCCCTTTTTTCACAAGTGGTAAATTTACCGTAACCATAACCAAAAGGTGACTCTTTCTTTAGTTCTGTTAATGAACAGAATTTAACTTCTTGATCACTACGTTAATGTCATGAAAACTTTATTTGGCTTTGAAGCTGAGATGCTTAAATCATTGTGTTGGGGATTTTAAATTTCACTTACTAATGGATTTTGTGATTTCATTTTACTTGTTTAATAATGAACAAGTGTAGTATTTTTATTAGCTATCATTATTTTAAAATTTGTGCTTAATTTTTTCTCTAATCTAAATGATATTTAGTATGTTTACTTTTCAGGAATTACCCAACTCTGTCTTCCTGGTGATGGAGGTAGGTAGTATACAAGCTTCTGTTTAATGTATTTCAAATTCCTTTGGATTAATATGTATGTACTTTAAAATTGACAGTAGATTTATTATTTGAAATTTTGAATTAATAAAATTGATTCTGTGATTTAGAGTTTACTTCATAAAGAACATAAAATTAAAAAATTTTTATTGTGTAATTTTTATAAATGTTTTTCAGACCAGATTTACATATATACAAATTTTTAATTAAAATTAACTGATAGTATATTGAATTAATCTTGAATTGGTGTCCTTATTTTCATTACTTTTTCTTTTATATGTCAGTATTGCAATGGTGGAGACTTGGCAGATTATTTGCAAGGTAATTTTTTGTATGTGTCAATGTTCAATAAAGATCGTACTATAGTCTGTTTAATCCTGAGAGTTACTTGTGAAATATGCTACCCCTGTTTTCTGCACTTGTATAGGAACATTCAATAAATATTTGTGTATTTGTTTAATTGTGGTCACTTTGCTGACTAACTATTGTTTGTTGTGATTTTGTTCCTAAACTTTAAGTACTTACTTTAGATATGCGTCTCTTTCAGTGTGTTTGAGAAAAAACCAAATAGAATTTCTGTTCTTCAGAAGACTCGACTGGGTTCCCTTCAGTGAAACGTTAATCCCTTTCATGTCTTTCAAAAAAAAAAAATCATAATGGAAGAATATATCCAAGAATGTATTTATTAATGTGAATGTTTCTTGTAAATTAAAAAAAAAGGTGTTATTAAGGATTAAAGGTAACATTGAAATTATTTTGTGGCACAGAGATAAGATTTTAGTACTAAAATCTAGTACTTAGATCTTAGATCGTGCTTGAAATTCTGAATCCAAAATGTGTACTTTTGGGATAATAAGCATTTGGATCAAATTGTGTCCCTCAAAAATGTTTTTTTTTTTTTTAATGATGTTAGGTGAGACCAGCATCTACTTATTCAGCCCTTAAAGGTGCAAGGGAAATATGTAAAAAGATATAAAAGGTTCATAATTCATCTATAAATAGATTCTGCCAATTGATGGTAATAACATGAAGGCATCAATAAATATACCCACAAAGGGTATGGACAGTTTACAAGAGAGAAACATATTACAAATGTTCAATTTCACCTAGTAATCAGAGAGTGCAATTAAAAATTAGATTTAAAAAATCTTTAAAATATAAAATATTGCTGACATCAAAAGCTGTGTGGAGAATGATGCTGCTATAACTCCTCCCCCCAATTAAAAAACAAATGGTAAGTACGCTTGAAGCTCCCTGTAAGCCATTCTGTAGTCCCACTCCTGTCCTTCCTGCTTAGAGACAATTGTTATCCTGAATTTGGTTGTTTGTTCCATGTGTGTTTTGTATTTTTCCCAACTGAGATTCTTTTTTAAAAAAATGTCAATTTGGTAAAAAAAAAATGTTCAAAATGTCATTTATTAGTAGATAGAAAGCAGTGAGACAGGTACTTTTGCTCACTACTGGTGGAAAGGAGTTGAAGCCAGAAGATACCTTGCTTCTGCCAGTCTCTGAACCCTTGAGTTCCTCAGAATCTAGACGTTTGTTCTTAGTGATCCAGATAAAGGCATCTTTCCACTGGGGTCAGATTGAGTGGCACCTTAGCCCTTTAGAGCCCTGGGTAAGAGTATCAGTTACTTTCACTGACAGAAGTCCTCTATTTGCTGATATAGGCAGTATTACTGGTATGGCAAATTGAAGTTGGCTTTGACAGCAGGTTTTTTTTTTTTTTAAAGATTGGCACCTGAGCTAACATCTGTTGCCCATCTTTTTTTTCTTCTTCTTCTCCCAAAAGCCCCCCAGTGCATAGTTGTATATTGTAGTTGTAGGTCCTTCTGGTTGTGCTATGTGGGCCGTCACCGTCACCTCAGCATGGCCTGATGAGTGGTACCACGTCTGTGCCCAGGATCTGAATAAGCAAAACCCTGGGCTGCCAAAGTGAAGCACACAAACTTAATCACTTGGCCACGGGGCTGGCCCTGACAGTGTTTTGTCTATGATGTTGAATTCTGTATTTGATCTTCCAGGGCATAGTGTTAGATTTGGAGACCAAAGGGTGAAGAGCTTAGCTGAACGCTAGAGTCAGACAGGCAAGCTGGTTTGCAGCAGTTTGACTGTTTGCATTGCTTAATTGCTGTGTGATTTTGGTCCACTTATTTAACCTCTCCCTTGTCCCTGTCTGCCACAGTCCTTAAGGGAATCCCTTGTATTTTGAAAATACTTGAAAAGATATATAAAATAAATTTGGTTCTCAAGGAATAGTCTAGAGCTGTACCATCCAGTATGGTAGCCACTGACCACATGGGGCTGTTGAGCTCTTGAAATGTGGCTAGTCTGAAGTGAGATGTGCTGTTATGTAAAATACACATTGGATTTTGAACATTTAATAAGAAGAAAAGAATGATTATATCTCATTAAGTTTTTTATATTGATTGCAAGTTGAAATGATAATATTTTGGATGTATTAGGTAAATATATATTTTTAATTTCACCTGTTTCTTTTCACTTTTTAAAATGTGGCTGCTAGAAAATTTAATATGTGGCACATGTTATATTTCTATGGGAGAGAAAATCTGGAATGTCTAAAAAGTCTAGAAGGTCAAATGCCATTATATCACAACACTGATTTAGTCCTTTTATTTGCTTTAACAAATAAGGTGCCTTACACATTTTCAAAAGATAGAAAACAAATTCTATCAATTGCAAGTTTAAAATAAAGCAAATTCTAAATTAATTGGTAAGTTGTGCTTAAACATTTATTCTAGCAGAATACGTTAAGTGTGGCAGCTATGGCTGAATCTACTCTCTCAGGGCTAACTTGCTTAATTCGTTCATTTGAAAGACTTTTGATGTTGACAATGCCTTTAAAATATTAAGTTTTTAATGGGAATTTCAGTTTATGGGATTGTGTCGAGAAATGCACATCCATGTTCATAGAAATATGTGAATTTTTACTACAGTTTGTGCCCAGAAACAGCCTAAACTAGATCATTAATTTTTTCCCCATGGGAACAGTGTTAGAATTTGGACTCTGAATCAAATAAATTTTAAGTATATTCAGTAGTGTGTCATGGGGCAAAGATACAAGTTCTAAGCAGCTGTCATTTAAAGTAGCAAAATTTTTCTAAGCCCTAGAATGAAAACGTAAATGAATGAAATGGGAAAAAACCATACTATTTATTTTAGCTGTTGCAATGTAATTTAAGTAAAACACGTTACAAAAATAAAGCTCTAGTTGTTGATTTGACCCACCCAGTAGTATGCAGTAATTTATGTGTTGCCATCTGTGAGAAAGTAGATCTGGAAGAATACACTCCAAATTTAAACTGTTCATCTCCAAGGGCTGAGACTATGAAAGATTTCACTTTTTATGTGTTTTAGAGTTTGTTTGTTTGTTTTTTAACAGTCAGCATCGGGAAAACAATCCCAAAGAATTAAAAAAAGGGATAGATTAAGAACAGCCCTCACAGAAGACAGTATTTGATGATTTTTAAACTATGGGGATTTGTTTTTTTCCCCTAAAGACTGGCACCTGAGCTAACAACTGTTGCCAATCTTCTTCTTTTTTCTTTTCCTGCTTTTTGTCCCCAAATTCCCCCAGTACATAGTTGTATATTTTAGTTGTGGGTCCTTCTAGTTGTGGTATGTGAGATGCCACCTCAACATGGCCTAATGAGTGGTGCCATGTCCACGCCCAGGATCCGTACTGGCGAAACCCTGGGCCTCCGAAGCAGAGCGCGCAAACTTAACCACTCCGCCAGGGGCCAGCCCCCCTGGGGATTTGTTTTATTTGAAAATGTTAAGGACATAAAATGTCACTTAGATGTCGTTAAAATGATTTTAAAATCCTGATATTTCACTTGTTCCCAGTTTTTTTTTTTTTTTTAAGATTTTATTTTTCCTTTTTCTCCCAAAGCCCCCCAGTACATAGTTGTGTATTTTTAGTTGTGGGTCCTTCTAGTTGTGGCATGTGGGACGCCACCTCAGCATGGCTTGATGATCTGTGCTATGTCCGCACACAGGATTCGAACTGGCGAAACCCTGGGCTGCTGGAGCGGAGCTCGAACTTAACCACTCGGCCACAGGGCCGGTCTCTATCTTTCTTAATCTTAATTGCATATGGAAAGATTGTATAGAACATATTCTAGAGTTGTATGTGCACGAGTATATTCACAAAGGATTTAGATAGGGTCATGGATATTAAATCCTTGATGTAGATTCTGGGAATTACACTTGTGACTTTTAGATCCCTTGCAATGAAAAGTTGATGTTTGTGTGCTGACTACAGTTTGAGTACTTACTATGTGCGAGGACTTTTTCTAAAGTCTTCATTATTAAATGTGCTATCTTGTTTGATGGTCACAACCACCCCCTGTGGTTAGTCTGTTTTCAGCTTTTTATAGACGAGAACTGGGCACAGAGAGATTATCTTCCAGGGTCCCACAGTAAGTAGGTGGAGGTGCTGGGATTTGAACAAAGGCAGCCTGTTAACCATTACACACTCCAGCATACATATAGAAACACTGCAGTATTTACTGAATAATGACTACCTTCAAATAATATTCACACTACTTTATAGTAGTAAAAACAGGTTAAAACATTTTTTAAAGGTGTCTTTAGTTATGAAAGATGCTATGGTGGGAAAGGGGTGTTGGGCAGCAGGGGAGATTAAAAGAGACAGATGTGGGAACACAGATCTCTGGAAGGTCCAAGTGGCAGTCATGTCCCAAGTCTCCATTCAAGAATTTCACCTTTTTAAAATTTGTGCTCAGGCAATGCTTCGAATTAAACATGGACAGTGATCCTAGATATCGACCCATGTGAAGGGGAGCTTGCTTGTTGGCTTGTAGAGGAGACTCATGTTTGTTGAGCACCTGCTGTGTCCACAGTAATGTGGCACCTTCAGCAGTAAAAATGGGACAGGAAAAACAAAAACGGATACCAGTGGAAAGAAAAGGTCAAATGTAAATCAGTTCTCTTCACAACAGACTGATTAAAATTTTTGAAATATCTGATATCTCTTAGACTTAAATTGTTAAGGTAAAAAAATGAAAAATGTGAATCCCAGTCTCTTATTCCCTTTATATTCTTTACAACTCAATTCTGATGGTGGAATATGCAGACGAGGTTTGATTTTGTGTGCTTAAATCTTTATGTGACTCCTTTTCTACCAGCTAAAGGAACTCTGAGTGAAGATACTATCAGAGTGTTTCTGCATCAGATTGCAGCTGCCATGCGAATTCTGCACAGCAAAGGAATAATCCATAGGGATCTGAAACCACAGAACATCTTGCTGTCTTATGCCAATCGCAGAAAGTCAAGTGTCAGTGGTATTCGCATCAAAATAGGTAAATGTCCTGTATTTCATGCAAAGAACATTTTTGAGACACACTGTTTTCAGATAGTTTTGCTTCAGCTCTAATAAATGATAGATTTTGTTGATGCACTTTTGAAATTTTTATTGCATTCAGTGAGGTGCATTCAGATATGTGAACTCATTACATTATTGGCAGCATATGCTAAATTTCAGAGAGGGCCAAGGGGCCCATGTTAGGAACTCTAGTATGAGCCACAGCAGTAAATCTTGCTTCTTCTCATCAGAGGGAGGCTGATGTGTTATGGTTGCTGGCAGCAAATTAATAACCCTGATTCTTTACAGCTCATGGGATTTTAACATAAGGGATCTAAGAGGCTATTTAGTTCAGTTTATTTATTTGGCAGGTTTTTTAGCACTTGTGTATCTCAAAATTATTCGAAGCAGTTTGTAATGCTAGATTTTTTTTAAAGTTTTTCTCTTGGTGGTTAGAAAAATAAATTTTTAACAGTATTTTAAGAAATTTCTGATATATAGATTACATCTGTTATGTGGAGGAAGACAAAAACAGTTCAAATTCTATACCTGTAGTGATATTTAATGAGAGCTGTATTAATGAATCATTTATTATAATTAGCATTTTCTCTTGCAGAGCTTGATGCTCCCTCCTTGGTTAAAAAACTGGCAGAGCAGTGACTTGTACAATTGGTGATTACTACTGTTTCTTAGCTCGTCAAATCGAAGTAGCTACTTTTTTCTTGGGTGGAGAGTCTTATTCAATAAGCTGTTAATTTCTTGACAATTCATTTGTGCCCTCTTGTGTCTTGAAGAATTATATGATCTATGTTAAGTGTGAGCAAAGGTATCATTTGTTTTTCTCCTTTTTATTTTGTGAAATAGCGGATTTTGGTTTTGCTCGTTACCTACATAGTAACATGATGGCTGCAACTCTGTGTGGGTCCCCAATGTACATGGTGAGTGAGTGTTTGCATCCTTGTGTGTTTACAGCACAGCACCATAAGCATTGGAATTTAAGTAGAATCTTGTTTCCAAGTAAGATGTGGTTTATATATAGTCCGAATTGTTATAATATTACTAATGTTAATTATATTACCAATATTGCTATAATACAGGCCTGTCTTTTGCTTTAGCATAGTGGACTGTAAAAGTCAGTCATCTTTGCCTGTTGGTTTTTATTTTTTTAAAAAATTGGTTACTATGGTAGAAATCCCCTATTAGATTAAACTGAAAATAAAGATTGGTGAAGTGTGGTCATGCTATACTTGTTGTTTAATCTTAGGAATACTTAAAAAAAAAAAACTTTTTGGGGGCACCTCGTCAGCTATAGGATATCTCATCTTTTGCATGTCGTCTCACTTGACAAGATCCCTATTTTGTAGAAGTTTTTTTAATCAGCGTCACACTTAAAGTTGAAAAAAATCTTAGTTTTCCTCTTTATCCTTTCATATGGATATTGTCATGTCTGATAGAGTGAGGCAATGAAACTTCTGAACTAATGTGAAGTACTAAGCCAGGAAATGCTGTAATTCTGGAACTTCAGAATCCAGCAAAGTAAATAAATGTGCCTATTTCACTTCTAAGTTTAAAATGGATTTATGTTCAATTAGGATTTCCTCTAATCTAAAATCAACTTTGAGATTAAGGGAACTGGTAATCAAAGTTCAAGAAAAAAATTTTGCATTATATTTACTTTCTGGATTGTACTTTTACTGCTTATATAATAAACTTTATAATTTAAGAATTATTTTGCACTTCTTGAGTATGAAATTAGTTAAGCCTTGAACTACTAGCCTTGAGGATAGAGAGTGTGCTTCGGCTGATTATTAAAGGAAATTGAGTCAATAAGAATTTACTAGGGACAATAAATAAAAGTGGAAAATAAAATTTCATTATCTCAAAGTATATTTGACATTTCTATGTAGTGTTTCTCCTGATTGACGGTATTTTTAAAAAGCAACGTCTAATGAGAGGTGGGAAAATAGCTGTAACAAAGCAGTGGAGAAATGCCTTTGCTTTTAAGACCATTTTTATTGTGTTTTTATCACTTAAATGACAGGAAAAAAGGGGAATAATAATGCAAACACTTGTGTACCTACCATCCAAATTCAACAAAGTCAGCATTTTGCCATCTTTGCCTTAATCATTTTTTTAGAAACAAAATATTTCAGAGACAGTCCCAGTCCCTTTTGTACTTCTCTCTCTTCTCATTTCCCCCTCTCCTACTGCAGAAGTAACCTCTATCCTGTAATTGGTGTGTATTTTTCTTTATTACAATTTTAATACTCATGTGTATTTTATGTGTCCATAATAATATATAGAAATGTTTGTTTCTGCAAGTTGCTTCTTTTTGTGTAACATTGTTTTTGAGATTTATCAGTAAATCTCAATGTAAAAGTGTGGTCCTGTATTCATTGCAGTATCATTTGATTAGGGAAATATCATAATGCATTGCTTTTATTTAAGTAGTTTTGTTAGGAGTGTGACCTTTTCCAGCTAACTAATATATGCATGTTAATTATGTAAATAACACGATGCATGTCTTGAATTTTTTTTATCCCCAGGCTCCTGAGGTTATTATGTCTCAACATTATGATGCTAAGGCAGACTTGTGGAGCATAGGAACAGTGATATATCAGTGCCTAGTTGGAAAACCACCTTTTCAGGTAGCCTGATTTTTTCTTATGTGCTCAGTTTTGGGATCTTCTCCTTTTGCACTTGCCTTTGACTTATAAAATGGGGAATGCTTTGGAAGCAGCATTTTTGGTTCCTTTGTGACTTACTTTGATTTTGTTACAGGCAAACACTGCTGTAGTACTAGTGAGCCAGAACATCTTTTGCTTTTTTATCTGCTTTCCCTTGGTAGCTGGACTGGGCATGAAGCCTGTGATATGTTTTCCAGACTAGTGAAAACTAGCAAGGGTTGGGGCTAGCAGCCTGCTGGGAAATGGGTATGAAAAGGTGTTAGGGCTTCCTGCTTAACCTGGTTTTGGGGTCCTGAAATCCAAGTGAGGAGTAGAGCTGGTCTGAAAGGTCACTGGAAGCTGTATCTCCAGCTCTCTATGCCTGTCACTGCTGAGTGAGAGGGAGTTAATGGTTTAGGCTTTACGGAAATTACTTGGGGTGGGTCTCCCTCTCTTCCTCTCCCGTAACGTCTTGTCAAAAAGAAGCCATCCAGAATATAACCATGACGATTCCTCTTGAGTTCATATTTCCCGGTAACAAAGAGGTTTTTTGAATCTGAAAACTGGAACAAAGTGAAATTATTTGCACAAGATGATATTAAAAATCAGTGCCACCACCAGGTTAAACACTTAATTTCCCAGTCTAGTTTGTATGTAGAGGCAGCTGCCCTGATTCAGCAGCTCTTATTGTGAGGGTACTAACTGTTGCTATGGAGTGACTGAAAAGTAGCAGTGTTCTTAATTCTCTTCTTGAATCCCTTGACAGTCCTAAGGTAAGATATACCCTGACTTTACACAATAAAAATGTACCTGTTGGGTAGGCCACATAACCTCCAGAATAGTGGTGCCTAAGTTTCAGGCCTAAGTTTCAGAGAGTCTGACCTCAGAAAAGATACGTTATGCCCAGATATGGAGAATTTGCATGCGATTTCAGAGGTTATATAAGTTCCTGGTGCCCATCTGTGTCCTTCAGCAAGGCATGACTTTCAAGTTCAGAATCTGTGAGCATTGATCATATGATTTGGAATTTTTACCCCCGTTGTTTAGGAAATTAAACCTTTTTTTTTTTTTTTAACAGGCCAATAGCCCTCAAGACCTAAGGATGTTTTATGAAAAAAACAGGAGCTTAATGCCTAGGTATGTGTTTTGATTGCACTGGGTTTTTGCTGTTGATGAATACAGTGTTGTTTATTTGAACTCTGTGTTTTATGTATTTGCATTATTGAATCTTTTTTCAATTGATAGTAATGAGAGCATTTATTAGGATAAAAATCCACAGGGGCCGGCCCCGTGGCGGAGTGGTTAAGTTCATGTGCTCTGCTGCAGGCGGCCCAGGGTTTCGTCGGTTTGAATCCTGGGTGTGGACATGGCACCGCTTATCGAGCCACACTGAGGCGGCGTCCCACATGCCACAACTAAGAATATACAACTATGTACCGGTGGGCTTTGGGGAGACAAAGGAAAAAAAATACAAATCTAAAAAAATAAATAAATAAATAAAAACCCAGGAAATTAAAAAATTATTAGCTCAGCATAGGTGCCTGTGTAGTGTTGCACCATTTTCTTTCTTTTTTAAAATGTTAAGTGTATTAAAAGAAAAAACTACAGAAGTTATATGTGTTCTTTGAGGGGAGGGAGATGAAAACAAAACATGTGTGTAAAGTACAAAGTAAATTCTCCCTAGGCCCTCCCCAACCCTAAAGGAAAACAAGAGTTTGCAGTGTATCTTTGGAAATCTTTTTTTTTTTTCAAGTTCTTTTTACACGTTTGAGTACTTGTTTGTGTTTGTATTTACACACACATATAGTTCAATACAAATTACATCATGCTTTGCAAATTGTTCTGCAACTGTGTTTTTGCTCTGCAGTATAGCATAGAGGTTGTTCTGCAATAGTATGTAGAGAACTACTGCATTCTTTTAAATGGCTACATAGAGTCCCATGGTTAGAGGTATAGTATTTTGTTTAATCGGATCCCTGTTTTCATTTTTTGGTTACTACAAACAGGCTTTAGTGAAGAGAGAGTAAGAGAGAGAGAGAGAGAGAGTGTGTGTGTATGTACACATTTGTGCATTTCTTTAGGATGGACTCCTAGAAATGGAATTGTTGAACCAAAAAGTATGCTCTCCAGGTTGGCCATCCTATTGATACAGCAGCATGAGAGAGTGCTCCTTTCCTCATATTTCACCAATGTGGGATGTTATCAGACTTGATGTCTCACAAATAGGGGAGGATCAATTAGTTATTAATTTAATTTGCATTATTCTCTTTATTATTGAGGTTGGTTCTTTTTTATTTGTTTAATGTCCTTTTGTAGTTTTTTTTCTGTGAATTGTACATTCTGATTACTTACTCATTTTTCTAATGCCTTGTTTGTCTTATTCTTACTGCATCTCAGGAAGCTGTGTTATTTCTCACTTGCATTTATTTAAGCTCTGCCCCTTTCCAGACAGGATTAGAGGTGGCTCTTTTTCCAATAGAGAGCTCCGCAGCAACTGTTAGTGCAAGGTTGAAGTTGTCTTAAGCCTTCAGATTGTCTGTGCTTGTGAAGTGCTTTATTCTTGCAGATAGTCCAGCAAACAGTAATAAGCACATATAGGAATCTTCCCAAATTGATGCTATTTCTCAAAGGCAATTGCTTAATGTTTTTTTTTTTTTTTTTTCCTTTAAAGAATGAGGCTTTACCATGGTCATCTTGGTATAAAATGTAGTATTTGTGAAACTGCATATACTGTTCATTTGCCATAGTGAAGGCAAAAGTCATGTGGTTAACATACATAAACTCACCACTTAGTTTGTTTTTTTCCCTTTCCCCCAGCATTCCCAGGGAAACATCACCTTATTTGGCTAATCTCCTTTTGGGTTTGCTTCAGAGAAACCAAAAAGATAGAATGGACTTTGGTAAGTAATATTTCCAAATTTTGTATGCTTTCTAATATCGTTTTTGTGTATTCTGAAAATATTTTTTTAAAAAGATTCTATAGAGGTTTCAGAAGAAAAAGTCAATTTCACTTTTCTTTCTATCTCTTTTTCTTTTTTCTTTCACGTATTTTGTAAATATTTATTGAGTGCCTGCTATGTTCTAGGTACAGTGGGTAGAGTAATAAACAAAATCCCTGTCCTCATGATGCTATTGTAGTGGAGGAGAGAAACAATTATGAAATATGATTATATGCTATAAGGCATTATATAATTATATCATCATATGATTATATGATTATAAGGCAATAAATACTATGGAAAAAACATAAGAGAAATGGGGGTGGGATGGGGATTGAAATTTTAAATAAGGTAGTCAGTGAAGATCTTTCTGAGAAAGTGACATCTGAACAAAGACTTGATTGACAGGTGTGAGGTAGTGAGCCATGTGGATTTCTATGGAAAGAGCTTTCCAGGCAGTGTGAAGAACCAGTACAAATGTGCAAAGGTGGGCATGCCATGTAAGCTGGAGGAACAGCTGGACAGGCTGTTAAAGAATTCGGTTTTTGCTTAAAGTGTGATGGGGAGCCAGTGGAGGGTTTTGAGCAGAGGAATGATATGATCTGACTAGTGTTTTAAAAAGGATCAGCCTTGTTGCTTGTTGAGAACAGACTGTGGTGAGGTAGAGGAGAGCAGAGGCAGGGAGACTGATAAGGAGACTAGCAGTTACCCAGGTGAGAAATGAAGTAGCTTAGACTAGGGTAACAGCAGTGGAGGTGGCGAGAAGTTGTTGAATTCCGGATCTTTTTGGAGGTAGAGGCAACAGCATTTACAGATGAATTGGATATAGAGTGTGAGAGAAAGAGAAGACTCCAAGATGACTCCCAAGATTTTTGGCCTGAGCAACTGAACGAATGGAGTTGACGGTTACAGAGATAGGAAAGACTGTGCAGATAGAGCACGCTGTGGGGGCAAGATGAGGAGTTTAGGTTGGCCATGTTAAATTTAAGATGTCTATTTGACATCTAAGTGCAGATACCAGAAGGCAGTTGGATTTCAGAAGAGAGGTCTAGGCTGGGCATATATTTGGGAAAAGATCTGGGAGGAGAAATTTTAGAATCCTGGTAGAAAAGTCCGGAATCTTGAAGATGGGGTTTAGGGAGACAGGGAGGGGCAGCTCCCTGTGTGGTGACCCTCGTGAACATGTGCTTTGTGGCAGCTTGGCCCTAACTGTGGCTTTAGGAGAGTGGGTGATGGTTGCCTCTTGTAGGCCATGGCCTCTGTTTAAGAATTTTAGATTCTTAAGGTGGAAGCTGATGTCATTGATGTTGAGCCTTTCTTCTTTTATAAGATAAGCATTTCATTTTTCTTTAAGTTATCACAGTGTATCTTCAGATAATATGTTACCACTTCATGTGTAATGAAAGGACTTGGAATGCTTAATATTGTAGAGATTATCCAGTTGTTGAAGGTCTTGAAAGAACATTTATCCCTGAAACTGTTAGGGTCTCGGCAACCCCACCTGTTTGGGGGATAGTTTGTTAGCTTGTCCTTATCAATCTTCTGTAAAAGATTGTTCTTATCAATCTTATGTAAAAACAGTGAGACTTGAAGATGTCAGACCAGAAAAACCATAAGACATGTTTTATAAAAACGCTTATCAAATTAACCCTGGTCTTCAAATTTTTAGAAAAAAGTTAAAACACTTTTTTTCTGTAGTAATAGTTGTAATAATAATAGAGATTTGCAAAAATTTAGTGCAGAATTTTGGACTGTTAATGTATATTTTGCAAATCCACAAGGCTTCTGGATCAGGCAAACTGGGGTTTGAATTCTGGTCCCTCAACTTACAGCTCTTTCACCTTGGAGAAGATGCATGGCCTTTATGTGCTTCAATTTCCTTATCCATAAGAGGAAGACAATAATATCTTGAGTGGAAGTTTGTGAGGATTAAATGAGGAAGTGGTATGTGAAGCACTGAGTTCATTGTTCTAGGAAATGTTCTCAGTAGACGATAGCTCTGAAAGCTTCTGTAGGGGGGAAAGATGAATAGTCTGAATATATATTTTCTTAAAGTTTTGTAAAATTGGAATTAAATTTCAGTTCATGTAGCTGGTAAATATTTTTTATGTTTCAGAAGGAGAAATTAAACTGAGTTGCTCTATGACCATGAGGAAGATGGGTCAATAGTGACACAACACACTTGTGGATAATAGTTTTAAAATTATAGATTGTGTTAAATGTTTATATACTTCCCATACCATAGCAATTGGTTTGGAAGGTGGTTTTAGAGTATTTGTGTTCAATCAATCTAGTTTATTTATATCTTTTCTATTTCATCCCTATAATGTGCTTTGTAAAAGCATAAAAAAATCTTACATGTTAAACTAGAGTTTATGTATATATGTATATTGATTTTTGTTCTAAAAAAGATCTAAGGTAGAAAACTCGTGATTTTTTCCAAAACCTTCCACATTTCCATTCCTTAGCAAGTCTTGTGGTTGATATTTACTCTGAGGGGCTTTGGCTATTTATTTCAGTGAAACTGATGACGTTCTTCAGAGTGGAAGATAATTTAGACTAAACCTGAGTTAAGCTGATTCCTGATCTTGTATTACCTCGTAAACCTCATGTGGGTACTGTGCTCTTCTCCGTGCCGGCTCTGTGATATTTAATATCATTCAAGTCTGAGATTTAATGATAAATGAGATCATTTTTGTAGGTTTTTCTATTTATTTTGTAGAAATAATGAAATAATTTATACATTCAGGAAAATAAAAAGAGCAAAATAATGAACTGTCATGTACTCACTTATTTATCTAATTAGCAGGCTTATTGTATAGGTTTTATCCTTGGTGGGTAGCTGAATAAATTAAATCAAATTAATAGTTTTTAAAAAAAATGTGAAACCAGCTGCAGGAATACTTATTGTAGGATAGAAGGATAGAATTTATCCTACAAATCAGCTGCCTAGATTTCCTTTTAGGACGATTAACAGCCATGGTTCAGAAATGTGCTTAGCAAGGGCCTGGTGGCTGCACTCCGTGCACTGTCTGCTGAGGACAGCACATGTGGAGAGCATGCCTCCTTGCGTTGCCTCGGGTGTGCTGTGTTGGTAATGTAGGTTTTGAAAATTCACAGTTGTTATTTTAAATTTTTCATTGATTAAGAAATACTTATAATTTGATAATTTTTATGTATTTATAAAAATAGTGTGTTCCAACATTGAAAGGAAATGGAGGCTACGTAAAGGAGTTAGTAATTATTTATGATCTCAAAGACACGTTGACTACATTGACAAGATTAACCTATCTGCTAGTCAATGCCAACTTAAAGGTTGCATTGTCATTTTTCATTACAGAAGCATTTTTTAGCCATCCTTTTCTTGAGCAAGTTCCAGTAAAAAAATGTGAGTATCCGCTTTTTGAATTTTTACTTAAAGAGTGAATGTAAGCTTAAGGAAAAACTACTATTTTGTATTACAAAATTAATTTTTTATGGTGCTTCTCAAGATTTCATTGAGGTTTTCTTAAATACTTGTAGTTGTGTTTATTTAATAACAGTTCTGTTTTTCCTTCCAAATCCAAGTCAAAATAGTTTTAGTAATTGCCGCGTTTTTAGTTTCATCAGTGGGAGCTGTAATAAGTAGGTGAACGTGAATTTTCGCTCAACACAGAGATGTAGTAGTCTTGACAGACTTTTCTATAGACAGGTGATGTACTTGTACTACTAAGTGGTGTTTCTCTTCATCGGTGTTTCTTACCCCAGCCTGCCCAGTCCCAGTGCCTGTGTATGCTGGCTCTGTCTCTGGAGGCTCCTGTGGCAGCTCTCCATCGTGTCGTTTTGCCTCTCCACCGGTAAGTTCTGGTTTTATTAAAAATAATTTCAGAGTTAGTGCTATTGGCATCTGTTCACAAATGGAGCCTGCAAATATGTTGTGGATGTTCTTTTTATGTATAATATTTACTGGTGCAACTGAGGCTTAGGGAAGAGCGTTATTGTTGGGTCAAATGGACCTAGATTTGGACCTCTGCTCTTACTTAGCTGTGTAAGCTTCAGCAAGAAATGTCACCCCTTGGGGCTGTTTCTTCTGAATAGTGAGTGCAGTGCTCTCACCTTTTTATGCCCTACGGGGTTGGGAAGGATGATACTTGCCAACAGAGTACCTTTTACATGTGGATAGGTAGCACATAGTGATTTTATCTGAATGTCATAAGCATCAGCTTGGATATTTATTGTACTCGGAATTTCCACTGGGGAGGAGTGACGTCTGAGCCAGATTTCACTGGTTTAGATTCCCGTCATCGTGATTGCTGGCCCTGTAAGGTTGTTCCACTCCCACCTCTTCCTTCCCCTGAGGGTCCCAAGCCATTTCCTCCCTGGCTGTCTTCCCTCCATTCAGAGTACTTCTTCCTGATCCCGAGAACTTCTGATCACTTCTGGTCACTACTTCTTCCTACTAGAACTCTCCTAGGGTCTTACCTTACCTTCTGTACTTTTCTAGACTAACCCTTCCCCTAGATCTCAGATGTAGCTTGAGAGGGTTGTGACCTTAAGGCTTTTCCACATGCTGAAGGTCAAAGGGATTTTGTGTCAGCTATTGTGAGTATTTTCCGGATTAGCCTGGCAGACGTGAATTTTCTGAATTCTGCTGGCAGAAGGGAGGGGGAGCCATAAAAGGAGGTGATTGTATGCTTAGTGGGTTGAGGCAACTCAGAGGTTTAAGAGTTGGGCTTGGGAGCTTTCACATCCCTTACTTGCCATATTAACTAGGACAAGTGACTTAATCTCTCTGAGCCTGTTTTTCATATGTAGAGGGAGTATAATTTACCTACTTCATAAGATTTTTTAAGGATAAATGAACAAAAGCATCTACTACAGTGCCTGGCACACAATAAATACTCAGGAAGTGGCAACTGCTATTATTTTCCAGGGAAACCTGATAGCCCATAGCTAAAGCAGGTGCTGAAGCAGCCTCTTGCGAATGGATGAGACCTAAAATGGACAAAAGACCTTTTGCACAATCCTGCAGATTCAAACCAAATAGAATAAGCAGATGGGCTAATAAGACCTACATTGTATTCCCATGAATTTAAGAAACTAAGAGGAAAAAAAAATGTGTCGTATATGCCCTGTTTCAGTCTGGAATATAAAAAAATATCACTGAGGGGCCAGCCCAGTGGCACAGCAGTTAAGTTTGCACATTCCACTTTGGCGGCCTGTGGTTTGCCGGTTTGGATCCCAAGTGTGGACATGGCACTGCTTGGCAAGCCATGCTGTGGTAGGTGTCCCACGTATAAAGTAGAGGAAGATGGCATGGATGTTAGCTCAGGGCCAGTCTTCCTCAGCAAAAAGAGGAGGTTTGGTGGCAGATGTTACCTTGGGGATAATCTTCCTCAAAAAATTAAGTAAGTAAATAAATAAATAAATAAAATACATCACTGAGTTTGGAGTGCTTGGGGAGAAATGTAGAGGACGTGTATTGACACGGAAAAATTATAGGCTTTATTTGGAGCCAAGCAGAACTGGTTTCAGTGCTGGCCCTGCAGCTTGCTCACTGTAACTTTGGGTAGGTTAGTTCCAGAGCTGTGCCATGGCTTCCTCATCTGTAAGGTAGGTCTCATTAATTCTTGGTTGAAGGGTGGTATCTGGTAACATGGAAGCTGCCTAGCCATAGTTAGTACCTGATAAATTGTAGCTTTATTCTGAAGGATACAGTGTAACACATAACATGAAAAGCAAAACTTATGCTAGAGAAAGAAGCAACAGGGAAGAATCTGATTATGGGAAAAGTGTGGGAGAGCAAGAATAAAGGAGCCTGTGGGATGGTAGAATGACCCAGGGATGAGAAGGAGAGGAGCTAGTAGGAGGCACATTGAGCTGGAAATTGCTTTGACTGGAGAGAGCATGTTGGGGTTTTTTGTTAGATGGGGAAGCGTTGAAAGGGAGAGCAAAACAGGAGCTGGGCCTGCACTGCTAGGACAGAGCAGAATGGAGCCAGCAGGAGGAGTGAGGAGGTGCCGGAGAGAGGGGAGGCATATTTAGATGCTGAAATGTTGGTGGGGAAGACCATTTTTAGAAGGTCTTTATTTAAAGTAATGCTTGAAGTGAACATAGAAAGGAAAGCTTGAGAATAAAAGGAAAGCAGGAACGTTTCTGTATAATTTCCCATTAGTAAGAATAGAAAGATGGGATGGTTTGATAGGCTTTGTTTTTAACGTAATCTCCCAAAATTAAGATGATTTCCTACATGCCTCCGCTTCCTTCCTAGGGCTGGAGTAGACTGTAACTGAAGGTTGATGCAGGCACACACCTATAACCTTCTCTTTTTTACTTTTTCACACAAATATCCAGCTGCTACTTTGTTCCAGAGAAATCTTTGAAAGGAAAGAGAAAACAAAAACAAAAGAACCATAACAAAAAAATCACTCTTTTAGTTATGATACTGGCTATCAGTTAAATGTTATGTAGATAATATCTCTTGAATATCTATTTATTGGTTTCATAATGTTTACTAAACGTCTACCTTGTGTGAGGTTCTGGTTGATATTAATGAACAAGATGACCAGGGTCAAATTAAAAAAAAAAAAATTTCATAATGTTTACTAAACGTCTACCTTGTGTGAGGTTCTGGTTGATATTAATGAACAAGATGACCAGGTCCCTGGTCAAATTAAAAAGCCTACTAAGGGCTTTTAATTTAATTGTGTAGAGAAGAGGCAGTAAATCAGTCACTATTAGAAGTATATGTATATATATATCTTTATTGCCTGTGGGAATGTGGATGAGGGGCATGAATCAGAGCAGAGCTCAGGAAGGCTGCTCAGAGAGGGCATTGAGCTCAGTTTTCAAAAGAGTAAGGTGAATTAGTAAAAGAATGGTCTTGTAGGCAGAGGAAACCCCTTCATGAAGTCATGGAAGCATGACCCACTGAAGGAATTCTGTAGCCCTCCTTGACCACTTAAATTAAAATTTGTTAGAATTAAGTGAAATTGAAAATTCAGTTCCTTACACTAGCTACATTTCAGGTACTCAGTAGCCATATACAGTTAGTGGCTCCCATACTGGACAGCTCGGATAGAGAACTTTTCCGTTACTGCAGGAAGTTCTGTTGGACAAGGCGTCTCTCAGCAGTTCAGTCTGGTGGATGTAGAGAGCATTGGTAGAGTAGTGAGGGGAAAATAAAGCTGTAAGGCAGGGAGAGGCTATATCTTGACAGAATTTGGGCACTGTGCAAAGAAGTTCAAACTTTAGCCTTAAAGCTGAGGTCAGCCATTTGAGTGATTTTAAGTCGAGGCATCATATGATCCACTGTGTGTTTCAGCTAGATTCTTCTAAAAGCAAGTGGAGGACAAGACTGGAGACAAGTAGAGACTGGAGAGGTCTCTGTTCTAGAGGAAAGAGAGCAACCTGAGACTAGCTTTTTTGTTCTGTTTCGTTTTTTTGAGGATAAGAGCCTGAACTAAGGCAGCAGTAGGAAAGGAGAAGAGAGGGGCCAGGGAAGAGAAAGGTGAAGAGTGTGCAGAGCATGGAGCTTGCTTGAAGCTGGGACTTAAGGAAGAGGGAGACCTTGATGGGGACTGAATGGATGGATGATGATGAAGTCACTCAGTAACGGAGCCTGGGAGGTATGCTTGGAGTATAAAGGTGATGAGTTAGTGTTGTACAGGCATGGATGTATTATACAGGCAAGTGAACAGAGGGGCCTAGAGCTCACTGGAGAGATTCTAGGCTGCGGAGTCATCAGTATGTGTGTGGTAGTTGAAGGTAGGAGAGGGAGAGTGGTCACTAGGATGAGTATAAAAAGTGTGAGGAGTAGAGGGCCCAGGGTGGCACCTTGGGGAATTCCGTACCCTACTCCTCCTTTAAAGAGAAATGAGGAGCCAGTACCCACAAAAGAGACTAAGAGGTAGGGTGAAAAGCAAGAGAGAGCAGGGTCATTCAGTGAGGGGTAGAGAGTCAAGAAAAAATGGTGCACAGTGCAGGCATAGCAAAGAATTTGAGTAACTTAGAGAATAGGGGAAATGTCAGCAGGACTTGACAATAGGAGTTGTTGGTAGCTTTAGTAAAGGCAATTTTATTGGAGGGTTGAAGGGAGAAAGTGGATTATAGTGGGTTAAGGGATACATGGGAGGTGAGGAATTTGTGTCAGTGAAGATTGATCACTTCAAGAAATATTAAGAAGTGAAAGAGCGAGAGAAGATGGTAACTGAAGGGTTGCAGGGATTTGAAATGTGACAAAATTAAACATGTTTCTGTACACAGATGGAAAAAAACCGGAGTAAAGGAAGAGGTGAAAGTGTCAGGAGCAGAGGGGAGTTGATCTCGGTCCTTGAGGAGGTGGGGGAGGAGGGAATTAGAGCACAGGTGGAGAGATGAGTTTTGAATGCAAGGAGAAGCCTCTCTTCCACCAAGATGACAACCAGATAATTTTGTAAATAGCAGAGGAAGAAATTGAGAAAGTTCCTGCCTAAACCACTGGAAGAAATTGTGGAGTTAGACGCTTGGAATCACATGTTAACTCGACTGCTTTTTAGTTGTGTGACGTCAGGCAAATTTCCTAATGTTCTGAATTTTGTTTTATTTATATTTGAAATGGATTTCAGAATAGGCTGAAGTTAGATAATACATGGAAAGCTCTTAACAGTGCCTAGCCCTTGGTTGGTGCTCAGTAATGTTAGTCCTTCCATCTTCTATTCCCTTTATAATCTTGAGACGTAAGTTCTCTTCAAAAAGTGATCAGGAGATTTTATGGGATGTGTATGTCACACACACACATGAAGCCATAAGAAGATTTGAGACTGATTTCATTGCACAGTGACATTCAAAGGAACATTAGCAGTGAATTGGGTGTTTAAGACTTGGGTTTAAAGAGTATTATGTAGTATTTTTCCTTTTCTTAACTAGAAACAAATGTTAAACAGGGTAATGGGGATTTAACACAATACGTTATGAAGTTCATTGTTTTAGAAAACCATTGTATACAAAGACATTCAATTAGAGTTGTCACTAGAGTTTTTGAACCAGGCAAATGCCAAAAGATACATAGTTACTTACGCCTCAGTATTCGGTATTCGTTTAAATATATTTATACGCTCTTCTTCCCTTCCTGTCCTGTCTCCCACAAACTGACTCCTCTCCTTAACAAAAGAAAGACAAAAGGAACACACCGACACCTGTAAGGTTTTCCACATCTTTCTGTGAGTGTAAATAAGTTTCTAGGCTTAAATGCAGTTATCCTTCTTGATTTGTTTACATAACATACTCTCTTGCTTTCCTGTCTAATGTTTTCTTCATTGGAGATTTAAAACTTTTCCTGTGTGCAGGGTGTCATTAATTTAAAGTCCCTGGACATTTTGTTTCACCCAGTAAGTGACCAATTATTGAGTATTTGCTTTGCTAGGCCATGAGCTGAAACTGGGGATGTTGAGATGATAACAACTCACCTCAAAAATTTCAGGAGAGGTGGACATGCACCTGTGATAGGTGGTATGATGTATTTTTTTAAGTATCATTTTTGGAAAACATTTTAGAAAGACACTTTAAACTGTACATTTGTAAGGAGAAGGATTTCCAAAGAGATTTTTTGAAATCTTAGATGGAATTGAACTTTATGCCCACTTTTATGAAAAAATATTCCTTAGTCTAATGGCTGTTCTGACTTGCACTTTATTATTAGGCCAGTTTTAATTTTATGTTGTTAATTTTAGTCCCTTCCAGATATGCAGCACATTCAGGAAGAAAACTTATCCTCCCCACCGTTGGGTCCTCCCAACTATCTACAAGTGTCCAAAGATTCTGCCAGTACTAGTAGCAAGAACTCTTCTTGTGACACGGATGACTTTGTTTTGGTTCCACACAACATCTCGTCAGACCACTCATGTGAGAATCTTTTCTACTTATACACATTATATATCTTAATTTACTAGACTAGCATTTTTTTTTTAACCTTTATATCATGCTCTCTTGTGTAGGGTACCTTTTCAAATGGACATTTTATTTAGTTGTTTGAATTCCCAGAATTATATACTTACCTTTCTAAAATCTCAGTCATCTTCCGTAAAACAGTATCTTTGGATTCTGAAGGTAGATGGAAATTTTATAGGAAATGATCTCAAATTCTGTTTGTATCCAAAAAGAAAGGAATAGAGAAGCTAGCAGAATGAGTAAAAATTAAATTTAAGGAAAGGAATTAAAGGAAGACCTCTTTTGGAAAAAACCTAAGAGTAAAAGGAGTCTTAAAAACAATTCACAAGATATTGGCTTACATTCAGGAATGAGCTTCATAAATATGTAGAAAGAATTTTTATGAAGGAAGCAGAATCCAAGATGACTAAATACAGTTAGTGTTCTGTGGAATAGTGAAGGGTACCAAAAAAAGTGCAAAAAATAGAAGTTAGATAAAACCATTAAAAAAGAAGGAACCATGTTTTGATTGTGAAGGAATAGAATCAGAAAAGCTGGATATTTGATATACCTTAATAATTGAATAATGTTAAGTTGACCATGTGCAGGTACAGATGGTTGGAGATATTTGTATCCAGAGGTCTATTTAGTTTTTTGTCAAATACTCAGTAGTTGCTTGTGTTCGGCACTGTGCTGGTTGTTGTGAAGGCCGTAATGCCCAGACCAGACACCCTTCAGGATTATTTGGCCAGGGAAGGGAAGACACAGCAGTAGGTGGCAGTCGATGATCAGTGCTATGAGAACTGGGGGTTACCTTGAAACATCATCCAGTACAGTGGTTTTATTTCATTTTAAAAGGGAATCAAAACTTAAAATTATGAAATATTTCAAACAAAATAAACATCAGATATTCGGATCACCCACCATGCTAATTTTATTTATGGCAGTGTGTTGCTGTATTTCTTTTAGATGTCTCTTTAAAAGCTATAGAGTGCTGACAGCACAGCTAAACTCCCTTTTCTCATTCTTCTCTTGCCAAGATACATTCTTCCCCTAGATCACTTTATACTTCTTACGTATGCTTGTATCCATAAATATTGTACAGTACCTTTGTGTTTTTACGGTTTTAAGTAAATGGTATATAGAATGTTTGTTTCTATAGTTTGTTTTTTATTTATATTTTTGCTGTGTATCTAGATATGTATCTAGATGTGTGTCTTGTTCATTTTAATATCTGAATTTTGAGGTACAATAAACTACCGTTTATCCATTTCCCTACTGATGGTTTATTGGATCATTTCTATCTTTTCACTATTCACAATGTATTGTAACAGCTGTTCTTGTGCCAAAATTTCTTCCAAGTGGGAATTCTAGATATGTACAACTTCAACTCTGTAAAATATTGGTACAAACAAGTTGTAGGCAACAGTCTCTACCATGCTGCCCCAATGTTATAATGGTACCTTCTGAAGATTTTTATTATTTTTTTCATATTTAACTTCACCTGGAATTTGTTTTTATAGATGGAATAAGGTAGGGATCTATCAATTTTCCCAGCATTTTTTATTGAATATTGTCCTTTGTCCACTGATATGCAGTTCCAGATTTGTCATATTAGGTTTATATGAAGGATTGGGTTTTAAGGTTTTCTATTCAGTTCCATTGGTCTGTTTTTGTCTATATTATAATAATTTTTAAATTCTTGTCTATCTATGTGAGATGGGGGTGGGGGTGATGGTAGAGAGCATCCTAGTAGTCTTTGGAATCACTCTGGCTATTCTTGGCTCCGTTTCCCACCAAATAGTTTTAATTTCAACTTGACAAATCCTAAAAAAAACCATTTAGGGATTTTGGTGGGAATTATGTTGATTCTATAAGACCTTTTCAGGGACACTTAGGATCTTTACAATATTAAATTGTCTACCCAAGAATGTTTGTGTGTTTCTCCACTTATTTAGGTTTCTTTAATGTGTTTTGATACATATTTATACTTTTCTACATAAAGGACATTCATATCTTTTGTTTTATTCTAGTTACCTTTGTTTTTTTGCACTTGTGTAAATATTGTCTTAAAAAAATTTTTTTTCAAAACTCTTCCTGTCGAGGTCTTTTTGTTGCCAAATCCCAGGGATCATTTCTCAGTCATCTTCTTTTTGATGTGTGCACAGCATTTGTTATGGTTGACCACACCCTTCTTTTTAATTATCGAAAGTTTCTTGTTATAAAATATAACATACATATATTTTTTAAAAGATTTTTTTTAGAGCAGTTTTAGGTTTACAGTAAAATTGAGAGGAAGGTACAGAGATTTCCCATATACTCTTCCCCCTGAGTTCATGGCCTTTCCCATTATCAACATCACTCCGCAGTGTGGTACATTTGTTACCAAGGACGAAGCTCCATTGACACATTATAATCACCCAAAGTCCACAGTTTGCTTTAGAGTTCACTCTTAGTTTTGTATATTCTTTGTGTTTAGACAAATGTATAATAACACACCCATCATTATAATGTCATACAGAATATTTTGACTGCTGTAGAAATCCTTTGTGCTCTCCCCACCCAACCCTTGGAAAACATTGATTTTTTTTTATTGTCTCTATAGTTTTCCCTTTTACAGAATGTCATATAGTTGGAATTATACAGTATGTAGCCTTTTAAGATTGGCTTCTTTCACTGAGTAATATGCATTTAAGGTTCCTCCATGTCTTTTTTTTTTTTTTAAGACTTTATTTTTCCTTTTTCTCCCCAAAGCCCCCTGGTACATAGTTGTGTATTTTTAGTTGTGGGCCTTCTAGTTGTGGCATGCAGGACACTGCCTCAGCATGGCCTGATGAGCAGTGCCATGTCCACGCCCAGGATCAGAACCGGAGAAACCCTGGGCCACCGAAGCAGAGAGCACGGACTTAATGAGCACGGACTTAATGACTTGGCCACAGGGCTGGCCCCTCCTCCATGTCTTTTCATGGATTGATAGCTCATTTCTTTTTAACGCTGAATGATATTCCGTTGTCTGGATGTACCACAGTTTATCCCTTTACCTACTGAAGGATGTCTTGGTTGCTTCCAAGTTTTGGCGGTTATGAATAAAGCTGCTGTAAAAATCTGTGTGCAGGTTTTTGTGTGGACATAAGTGTTCAGCTCCTTTGGGTAAATACCAAGGAGCATGATTGCTGGACGGTATGGTAAGATTATGTTTAGTTTTGCAAGAAACCACCAAACTATCTTCCACAGTGGCTGTATCATTTTGCATTCCTCCTGATAGTGAATGGGAGTTCCTGTTGCTGTACATCCTCACTGTCATTTAGTGTTAATATTCTAGATTTTGGCCATTCTAATAGATATGTAGTGGTATTGCATTGTTTTAATTTTCATTTCTGCAATGACATATGATGTTCAGCATCTTTTCATAAGCTTGTACACCATCCATATATCTTCTTTAGTGAAGTGTCTCTTAAGATCTTTGGCCTATTTTTTAATTGGGTTGTTCATTATTTTGTTGAGTTTTAAGAGTTCTTTGTATATTTTGGATAACAGTCCTTTATCAGCTGTATCTTTTGCAAATATTTTGCTTAGTCTCTGGCTTGTTTTCCAATTCTCTTGATATTGTCAATATAGAGCAGTTGTTTTTAATTTTAATGAAGTTCAGCTTAATAATCAGTTTCTTTCTTTCATGGATCATGTCTTTGATGTTAGAATCATGATATACCTAAAGTCATGATGTAGGTTTTCTCCTGTGTTATCTTCTAGGAGTTTTATAGTTTTTTGTCTTACATTTAGGTCTGTGGTTCATTTTGAGTTAATTTTTTTGAAGGTATTAGGTCTGTGCCTAGATTCTTTTTTTTGCATGTGGGTGTCCAGTTGTTCCAGCACTATTTGTTGAAAAGACTGTCTTTGCTCTATTGTTTTGTCTTTGCTCCTTTGTCAAAGATCAGTTGACTATATTTATGGAGCTCTATTTCTGGGCTCTCTTTTCTGTTCCATTGATCTATTTGTTCTTTTGCCAATACCATGCTGTCTTGATTACTGTATCTTTAGAGTAAGTCTTGAAGTTGCATAGTGTCAGTCTTCCAACTTTGTTCTTCTCCTTCAATATTATATTAGCTATTATGGGTCTTTTGTCTCACCATGTAAACTTTAGAATCAGTTTGTCAATAGCCACAAAATAACTTAGTTGGATTTTGGTCGAGATTGCCTTGAATCTACCAGATCAAGATGAGAGGAACTGACATCTTGACAATATTGAATCTTCCTGTCCGTGAACATGGAATATTTCTCCCTTTATTTAGTTCTTCTTTGATTTCATTCGAGTTTTCTAATTTTTTTAAAAAGAAAATATTTATATGTATTATAAATATATATTTATATTACACGCACGCAATCTGAATTATCTTTTTAAAAAATTTTTTTTCTCTTAAATATTGGCACCTGAGCTAACATCTGTTGCCACTCTTTTTTTTTTCACTTCTTCTTCCTGAAGCCCTCCAGTACATAGTTGTATATTCTAATTGTGAGTGCCTCTGGTTGTGCTATGTGGGACGCCACCTCAGCATGGCTTGATGAATGGTGCCATGTCCGTGCCCAGAATCTGAACTGAGGAAACCCTGGGCCGCTAAAGTGGAGTGCATGAACTTAATCACTCGGCCATGGGGCCGGCCCCTCCTCTTTCATTTCTGATACTAGTAATTTGTGTTCTCTCTTTTTTTCTTAGTTATCCCGGCTAAAAGCTTATCAATTTTATTGATCTTTTCAAAGAACCAACTTTTGGTTTTGTTGATTTCTTCTATTAATTTCCTGTTTTCAATTTTATTGACTTCTCTTCTAATTCTTATTATTTCTTTTTATTCTACTTACTTTGGATTTAATTTGCTTTTCTTTTTCTGGATTCCTAGGGTGGAAACTTAGGTTATTGAGTTTAGATCTTTCTTCTTTTCTAATATGCATTCAAAACTCTAAATTTCCTTTTAAGTGTTGCT